ACACACACACACACACACACACACACACACACACACACACACACACACACCTTGTCCCTTTGCTGTTTGGAAGCAGTGCAATAGCCCCTTCCAGCGACTCGTATACAACTGTTCCACTGCACAAGCATCTCCAACCAAGAAAAAGTCCGACTCTCCACTTCATGTGTGTTATGCACCAACAACCTTAACACACACCAGTTTACTCTCCCCCCTCTCCCTGGAAATGTAAACGATCAGACTGTGTTTCTAAAGARGGACATGGTCTGTGTTTGCTCTGGGGCCACTTGGGTGTGAACTAGCCTCCGGCTGTGGACACGGTGGAGGACACAAGACACACCGGAGCAGAAATGGCTGAATCTGCCTGCTCAACAGATGGCCCATTCCTTAGAATCAGTCTCACCCTGCCCAGAGGACACTACAACGCCTTTAAAAGGAATGCAAAATACTTTTAGTAAATATACTTTTATGTTAATGAGTCTTTTTTTTACATACAGTATCTGTTGCTCTTGCAAACCTTTTTAAGTGACACTTGTTGGAGAAAGCCTCAGAGAGAGGAAAAGAAAAACATTTTTCCTCCTATTCTTTAGTCTTTGGCCATCTCTCTGCTGCTCTCTCTTCACCCTGCCCCACTTACACTCTTCAATTGCAGCTTGTTTAATTTGTGTGGCAAATTGGGCTTGGCATCAGTGTGAAAGAGAGACATAATTGTCCCCGGTGAGCTGAGGGGGACAGCACAAGAGAGCTAACAAACAATTTGTGCCTTTTTTTATCCCTGAACAGTAATGCAAAGAGGAAGCGTCTGAAATGAGAGGAGATGTAAAAGATGTTGAGCATCTTTACTTGAACAGGGTTGAAGGAAACTAAATTGTTAGTCTGGGAATCAGAACTAAAGTCCTCTGGACATTTTTGGGGTCTGAAAGTGGCAATAATGTTAAAATTAAAGGCTAAAATCATAAACGTAAATATAGGTAGATAACACAACTTTATTTTCTTCAATTGCACAAAATTGTAGTTATTTATTTATTTGGCGCTTTCGTGTTGTATGTTGTTAGAGCTAGTCTGCTCACTAGCAATGTGGATGTGGGGTTGTACCCTCTTTACAATAGCCCCCCCCCCCCCCCTTCACACACACACACCCTCCCTCCTAACTTGCCAACAGGCTTTCATGACACTTTTTTAAAGACTCAACTAATTCGAACTAAACATGCTTTTAAAAATGTATTTTTGAGCAAATCTGTCAAGAACACACAAACCAAAATAGCTTTTTTAAAATTAATTAATGAATTAATTAATTTATTTATTGATTTATTTATTTATTGTTTTTCATTTTTACTATGTCTCATTTTTTTCCTACTGTTTGCATGCAAATTAAAAAAGTCATCAGTAAAAAACGATATATTTAGTCATCAGTAAAAAACAATATATTTAGAGGTTGATATAAACACAAAATTAGTTCTGTGGTTRGAACCACTAGAAAAAGCAGAACAGTGATTGTTACTGAGCATAAGACTGCATACTTGTTTTATTTTAATCTACGTTTGATAAAACTATAAATAGAAATTGTGCTAAGTGTTTCTAAATGTTTTGAACAAACATAATTAAAAGCTTAAAAATGAAAAATGGAATTTTCTGAATTGCTCTTGGTAGCCTACTCTAACCCATTCTGTGCTGGACCACGTCAAACCCTGAGCCTAATGGTGTTTTAATTGATTTCTCACTTTGCTGGTGGATGGCATGGAGAGTCCCACTGAGCCAGCATGATTCTCTTTAACACGCTAAATGACTATTGACAGGCTCCCCCTTAACATGAAGATGTTAGCACCCAGAACTCATCTCTCTCACACACACACACACATACACACATTCAGGCCTGTACTGCAGAAATATCCACAGTCAGGCCTCACAGCAGCCACACACATC